TCCAAGATCACACCTCAGGCTGCAGGCAGCGCTAAACCGCTGCACCACCAGGACCGCCCTAATGTCATAAATTTCTTAAATTGTGGTTAATATTAGTAGTTATGGGCTACTACTACTTTGTACTAAATCATTATAAATGAAAATGAAATACTGACCAAACACATTAAAAATATCTCCCTATGCCTTTTGCTTAGTACAGCTACAAAGCAGAATGCTTTTTGCAATAAGCCCAAATGATTATGTCCCCAATGCCTGCCTCTGCCTCAGTCCTCCTCCACTCAATGATGGTTTGGTGGTTTCTGGGACCCAAAGGCAAGTAAGACAAATCACACTGAAGAACACACTCAAAAGCTAGCTTCTGGAAAACTACCAAGAAAAAAAGTGCTATTTTTTAGGCTATAGAGCAACATGACCTGCTTGACAAAACTATTTACCCACTCTCAGAGCTGAGTAGTTTATTATAGGCCCAAGCTAAGGGGCTAATGCAAAACTTCCGTGATCTAACATCACCTGAACCAACTATGGCCAAAGGCAGTAATTCCCCATCTACCTGGCATCACTGGAGCTGGTGTTCTAAGAGATTTTTTCAGATACCTGAATCTACTCTATGTATGAATCTATTTAGTCTTTCCTAGGCAACACGTAAATGGCACTTTATAACTTGACTACTATTTTACACGTGAATAATGACTGTTTCAGATCATGTAAACTCAAGGACTATAAGAATTACAGGGCTATCATTAGGTTTTGTGTCAACAGCCCCCAAGCCTGCTTTGTTCTTTACACTCTTACGTTTCCTCTCTTGTCCTCACATGATTATTCTGCCACTACCCACTACTATGAGTTTGTTCTCACTTCCTGTTTCTGTGTTTCTACTCTGATGTTCTGGGAAACCAGATAATTAAACTCATTAAACTATGGCTAACTTAAGAGCAAAATGGCTTAGAGACATCTGGGTGGCTCAGTGGTTGAGCATCCGCCTTCGGCTCAGGGCGTGATCCCGGTCCGGGAATCGAATCCCCCATCAGGCTTCTTGTGAGGAGCATGCTTCTTCCTCTGCCTGTGTGTCTGCCTCTCTCTGTCTCTCATGCGTAAAATAAAATAAAATAAAATAAATAGCAAAATGGCTCAGAGCTAAAGCCCTGACGGGCTATCCACTATGAGATAATAATGTCAGCTTTGGATTGTGGCCTTTGTGGTAACTATTTTGACTACTGGGAGATTTCTTTTGGTTTGTTTTCTAGGTCTCAGTGGTGTTCCTGAATAATTGAGAGAGACTGGTAAGCAAGAGCTTTTGAAATGTGGTTCCCATATCTTATGACAAGAATTTAGGAGAGAATGAACTCTCTTGCCAATCCTCCCAATCCCAAATAACAGATGATAGTGCATTTCAGGACTTCAAAAGAATTGGAGGTTAAGAAGGTAAGGTAGCCACTCCTGCACACTTCAAACTTCTCCTTGCACAGCATTTTGCTCACCCCCAATGAACTAAGAAAGAGGCCTATATTGGGACACCTGGGTGGCTCAGCGGTTGAGCATCTGCCTTTGGCCCACAGCATGATCCTGGAGACCCGGGATCGGTCCCACATTGGGCTCCCTGCATGGAGCCTGCTTCTCCCTCTGCCTGTGTCTCTTCTCTGCCTCTCTCTCTGTCTCTCATGTATACATAAATAAAATCTTAAAAAAAAAAAAAAAAAGAAAAGAAAAAGAAAAAGGCCTATATCCAACCTAAGCTAAATATAAAACCTATTGTGCTTTCATTTTGCTGGTGATCAGGGGACAAAGAGAGGACTAGGATAGGACAGGCCATGTCTAGAGACAATGGGTTTCTCTTCAAGATCATAATTAAACAGAACCAAGGGGGTGCCTGGGTGGCTCATTTGGTTAATCCTCTAACTTTGATTTTGGTTCAAGTCATGATCTCAAGATTGTGGGATCAAACCTTGTGTTGGGCTCTGTGCTCAGCATGGAGTCTGCTTGTCCCTCTGCCTCTGTTCCTTCCCCTGCTCCATCTCAAATAAATACATTTTAAAAAATAAATAAATGGAAACCAGGAGCCAACACTTACATGGACTCAATCATTTTCTTTGTAAAGACTTCATCAAATTCCCTCTTCAAACTGGTTTTCATGGTGTCAGAAAGAACAAGACTGGGGAGATGATTGATATTTCTGTCAGCTTCCACTTCCTCATCTTCGTCAATTATCCTAAATAAAGACAGCAGAAGCAGAGAAAGAAAAATTATCTAGTCAAGCTATTATATATATTCTAGTAATTAGATGAAATTTAAAAACACAATAAAGGCAAGAGGTGCTACAGGAAAAGATCAAGTAAAATATGAGACTCCAAGGGAAAAAGTACATACATGCAATCAGATTTGAAGAATGTGTCCTTGAAAATTCCCATAAACCAAAAATTTATATTCAGAGAGTAGGTGAAAATATTTAGCACAGTTCTATGAGCTTAACATTAAATGTGCAAACTCCTGAGTTCTCAGATTTTTCATAGTCTGAGAGGCTGAGGATCACCGTTATTACTCAATGATGAATTAGACTAGCTTAAATGAGTAGAGACGTCACAGAGGAACAGCAAATAAGCCAGCAACATATGCTACCCATTTACCTGTCCTCAATTTCTTGAAGCCTCCTTCGGGCAACTTCACACTGTGGTTCTCCGGTTGTCTGATCCATTTCTTCACAAATAACATCTAACATGCCAGGTGCGGAGAGGCCACTAGTGCACGGATTTACTCCATGACTCTCTATATCCTGATGTGCACAAAGAATCCAGTCATTAGGACCAGCACAGAGCCCTGCTTCAGTTAGCCTTTTCTTTCTTACTGGACAACTGAAAAAAAAAATTCAATGACAATTCAGAGTCATATAAATGAAATGTTTATCATCCCTATCTCTAACCAAACTCTCATGTAAAAAAAAAAAATCTGATTTTTTGACAGCATGTGATTATAAGATAGGAAATCATTAATTTTCTTTTCTGTCATTCTAACAGCCTCGAGAGATGTTTTCTTCTGCTCTGACAAATTAGACTGTACCTGCAAGATTGTGCTTTTTTCAGATTAGTGTTCAATGTGGGAACTTAGAAGTCATTCCCATTTCTTTGGCTCTGGATAGGTCAAATGGAAAGAAACCAAAATCACAAAGCGGCAGTTGAGCACCAGTCATATTTTGTCCTAATTCTGCTTGCTCCATATGGGGAGGTGGTCTACAGGCATCCTATCTTCCCTTAGGGCAAAAAATATATAACTTCATTAGGTCTGTTCCAAGTAGTACAGGTTGCAGAAGACATTAAAAAACTTTATTTATTTATTTACTTGAGAGAGAGAGAGAGAGAGAGAGAGACAGACAGACAGACACCAAGCAGTAGCATGCATACATGTGTGCACAAGCAGGGGAAGGGGCAGAAGCAGGCTCCCCAAAGAGTAGGGAGCCTGATGCAGGGGCTCGATCCCAGAACCCTGGGGTCGTGACCTAAGCAGAAGGCAGCCACTTAACCAACAAGGTCACCCAGATGCCTCCAATACTGCTGATTTCTTGGTCCTCTGAAATGTCAGAAGACTCTTATTTGGCTCTGAGTCCCTTACTATAATGGGGTACATTTTTCTCCCACTTTGCATCATAAACCATTTTCACTTCCTAGAAAAATTTATATTTCATAGAGCCCTTAGAGTTCATCAACTTAACTTTTGCAGATTTGGAAACTAAGACCTAAAAAAGCTAAAGTGCCCTCTTCTAAGTGTCATATAAGGTAGAGTTGCATGTTGGACACAAGTCAGAGCTCCATGCTCTTTTCACTGAAACTGATGGCCTCCTTAAGGAAGTTCAAACACTTCAAGCTCTAACCATGAACTAGTATTTGCATGCACTGCAACATGCCCAATTTAGCTGAAAACTGTCTGAAGCAGGTTAAATTCTGAAGCAGGTTAAATAGACAACTATAAAATATATATATATATATAGACAACTATTCTATTTAAGTCCCAAGACCAGATGTACTTTATTGCTTGGGCATTAGCAAGTACAGCCTCAAAAAACAGAACACAGCTCTGCAACCTAAAAAAAAAAAAAAAAAAAAAATCATTAACGGCTACCACAGCTTATGACTCTATAAACTGAAGGTCAAAGGAAGTGGTATGTATTTTACAAAGAGAAATTTCTTTTTGTTTTTTTTTTTAAGATTTTATTTATTTACTCATGAGAGAGACAGAGGCAGAGACAGAGAGGCAGAGACACTGGCAGAGGGAGAAGCAGGCTCTCCCTGCCGACATGGAACTCAACCCGGGGTCTCCAGAATCCCGCCCTGGGCCGAAGGCAGGTGCTAAACCGCTGAGCCACGCAGAGATCCCCATAAAGACAAATTTCTAATCCTGTTAAGACTACAAAACAAAACACAAAAAAACCTGCAAAAATCAACATTAAAGCCTCTGGCAATATAAAATCTGACAAATAGTGATGCTCTTTCGAACCTAGACTTTTATTGGAATCGGCTATTAAATAATTTAAGTGTTTAGATTTTTTTTTTTTTTTATGATAGTCACAGAGAGAGAGAGAGAGAGAGGCAGAGACACAGGCAGAGGGAGAAGCAGGCTCCATGCACCGGGAGCCCGATGTGGGATTCGATCCCGGGTCTCCAGGATCGCGCCCTGGGCCAAAGGCAGGCGCCAAACCGCTGCGCCACCCAGGGATCCCAAGTGTTTAGATTTTTAAAGTCTTTGAGTACAGTTGACATGCAATGTTACATTAGTTTCAGATGTACAACGTAGTGATTCAACAACACTGTATCTTATGCTATGCTCACAACTGTAGTTATCAGGATAGGGTGCCTGCCTTTAGTTCAAGTCATAATCCCAAAGTCCTGGGATTGAGCCACACATCATCGGGCTCTCTGCTCAGCAGGGAGTCTGCTTCTCCCTCTCCTCTTTGCTCCACTCATGCTAATAAATAAAATCATTAAAAAAAAAACACACAACTGTAGCTATCATCTAAATATATGGAACCCCTCACAAATTTGCATATCATTCTTGCACAAGGGCCCATGCTAATCGTCTTTGTATTGTTCCAATTTTAGTCTATGCTGCCAGAGTAAGCACGAGAATATGTTTAATTTATAATTTGCTTTAATTGATAAGAAAACATTAAGAATGTATAGCTATACATCACATATTTCTGTAGTACCTGGATAGTTTTGCGGTGTTTTGGAAAGCAGGAGAAAAGCTACACACATAAAACCAGCTAAGAAAACGCAGAAAAAATCTGTACAGGTAATTTCCTAGTACATCCAACAATTCAACTATGAAATGCAACTGAGTTTAAGAGCTGGGTTCTGATCTCTGACCTCCAACATGATTTGGACTGTATTATTTTATGCCTGTAGGTCCGTTTTGCATATAATTAGAGATCAATGATAATTAAGTTTCAAAGAAAATGAGCTATAAAAGACTTCAAAGTACAGATAAGAGCCATGGAAGTGGCAGGTGGGCAGTACACTTCTGGGCATTAGGTATTCAAATGTCAAGCTCCTCATTCTCAGGGGTTTAATCTCTCCATCTGTAAATTAAAGGCAGTTTAATTTTTTAAAGTAAGTGTTACATCCAATGTAGGGCTGGAACTCCCAACCCGCAAGATCAAGGATTGCATGCTCCTTGGACAGAACCAGCTACGCACCCCAAAGTTGGTTACATTTTTAAGCCAACAAATTTTATGCTTCAAACTTTTCACACTGGAACTCTTTATTCATTTATCTCTTTTTTTTTTTAAGATTTAATTAATTTATTTTAGAGAGCGTGAGCAGGAGTAAGGGTGCGGGGTGGTGGAGAGAAGCAGATTCCTTGCTGAGTGTGGAGCCTGACACTGGGCTTGATCTCCTGACCCTGAGATCACTACTTGAGCCAAAACCAGGAATCGGCCGTTCAACAGACTGAGCCACCCAGGTGCCCCTATTCACTTATCTTATAGTATATGCCAAAAGAAAAAAGCAAAGAGATCCCTGTGTATCTGCAGCAATCCCAGGGCAATTAAGAATATAAATATTGTCTGGTGTGGTGGTTTTTAAACTAAGGCAACTTTTAAATCTATTTAGCCTATGCATCAGCAAGCAAGAGTGGAAAATCCAAAGTTTCTGCTGTCCAAAAAGCAAACAAATAAGCAAAACTTACACAAAGTAAAAAGACCAATGACAAATTTTGGGGAAACATAACACACATAATAAACTACTGATTTCTGGGGCGACTGGGTGGCTCAGTCAGTTATACATCTGACTTTGGTTCAGGTCATGGTCTCAGGCTTCTGGGATTAAGCCCCACACCAGGCTCCCTACTCCACAAGGAGCCTGTTTCTCCCTCTGCCTGCTGCTCCCCCTGCTTGTGCTCCCTGTCCAATAAAAAAAATAAAATCGGGATCCCTGGGTGGCGCAGCGGTTTGGCGCCTGCCTTTGGCCCAGGGCGCGATCCTGGAGACCTGGGATCGAATCCCACGTCGGGCTCCCGGTGCATGGAGCCTGCTTCTCCCTCTGCCTGTGTCTCTGCCTCTCTCTCTCTCTGTGCTATCATAAATAAATAAAAATTAAAAAAAAAAAAAAAAGGAAAAAAAAAATAAAGGCCAGGAAAACATTCCTTTAAGAAAAAAAAAAAAAATAAAAAAATAAAATCTTTTAAAGAAGCAATAAGCTACTTTTTGTACTAGAGATTTCTTATACATGAACATGAAAAAGATCAATAAGCCAATAGAAAATGTGCAAAAACAGGAACAAATGACACACTTAAACACAAATGTATTAAATGTAAAGATGTTCAAAATAACTTTAGTTTACCAAATATAAATCAAAACAGTGGTCTGAAAAAAAGATCTAATTTTAAGTATAAAATCCTATGCTAACACAATTCAATGAATAATTAGAAAACAAACATCCATGAAAATAACATTCAAGATATTGACCCTCACCAACATCCCAAAATGGTACTCTATTTCCTTTTCCCTACAGGTAAACACTAGGTTATTTACTTCTTTTTAAAAATACATCATCATGGGATCCCTGGGTGGCGCAGTGGTTTGGCGCCTGCCTTTGGCCCAGGGCGCGATCCTGGAGACCCGGGATCGAATCCCACGTCGGGCTCCCGGTGCATGGAGCCTGCTTCTCCCTCTGCCTGTGTCTCTGCCTCTCTCTCTCTCTCTCTCTCACTGTGTGCCTATCATAAATAAATAAAAATTAAAAAAAAATACATCATCATGCATGTAGATATGCATCCCTACACTATGTTTAGTTTTGCCCAGCTTTCAACTGTATGCTTAAAGAATTTATACTGTACATATTCTTGGATGTTTCTTTTGCTCATACTATGCTTATAAGACATATCTACATTGATAGGTATAATACATTCCATTTTCTCCCCTTTTTTGCTTAATACAACTCCATTGTATGAATTTGTAATTTTCTTTATCCATTTTACTACTGAGGGACATACAGGTCTTTTCTGCTTTGAGCTATTATGAACAAGGATGCTATGGACTTTCTTGTGTCTCCTGTTCCAATCGTGTACACATTCAAGAGGTGAACTGTTGGGTAACAGAGTATGTATGTATGTCTTTAACTTACTAGATAATGCCAAACTATTTCCCAAAGTGCTTGTACTGTCTCAACTATAATACTGCATTGGTGCTCCAGTACCTAGTGGTAAAGTAGCATATCTCATTGAGGCTTTACTAGGCATTCCTCTGAAGACTGATAAGGTTGAATGAACACCTTTCATTTATTGGTCATTTGGATATCCTCTTTGATTCTTCCATTCATTTTTCTATTAGACTGCCTGTCTATGAGATACAATTTTTTAACCTTTGAGTTTAGTGAAAAAGTTTGAAAAGACAGTTCTGGTGAGAAGATGGAGAAACAGGCATTTCCACTGTTAAAAGGAATATAAATCGGCAACACTCTTGTTCAAAATTTAAAATGCAAGCAATTCAGCACCTAGGAATCCATTAACCCACTTGCAAATATACACAAGGAACTTTAAAAAGAATGGACACAGTAGCTTTAATCTACAGTAAAAGCAAAAGATTAGATATAATTTAGAAATCTATCAACAGGAGACTAATTAATGATCTATACCTAGCCTTCCAACAGAAATATATTCAATGTTGCAAAAGAAATGCACCCATATGCAACAAACTAGGAGAGTAAAATAAAAAGATCCAAGTGTTGCACAACGAGGGGAGTTACCTTTTACAAATGTAGAAGAGCAGAGGTATATACAGTTATAAACTTGTTAAGCTTTTAGATTATCTTCCAAAAGGGACATAGGAAACAGGTAACAGGCACTCTAAGACTTTACAATTTGTATCCTTTTGCACACCTGAAATTCTTTTAACTTTGTCCATGTCGTAATATTCACATGGATGAAAATGCAAACATTACTAAGGAGTAGAGGGAGAAGTGTCCCTCTGATATGCCAGCTACCCAGTTACTTTCCCCAAAAGGCAACCAGTTACCAGTTCCTTGTATCGCCCTGCAGAGATACTTAATGATTCACCTTTTCACTTAAATAGTCGAGGATATAAAACAGGTTAAATTTAAGCGACCTAAGGTGAACAGATGGCACCTGACACTTACTCATCATCCTCCTCCTCTCGCTTGTGTTTCTTTTTACAGCGCACTGAAACACTGTTGAAACAAACAAACAAACAAACAAACATTAGTCAATTGAGAAATTCACTGAGCCTGTGCTCTCGGCCTCCACTCTCCCTTTCCCCAACAATCTCGCTCATTCCACGAGTACTGGCTGTCCCCTTCCAGGCCGACTGGGATTGGACAGACAGATCACAAGGTCGCTCAGGTTGGGTGGTCCCGACATAACTAGAAGTTGAAATCTCAACTTCCCACTTTGCCAAGGGAGTGGGAAACACAGCTGGAGGGACTGACCTACGTAGGGGAAAACGTTTCTGGGGGCAAGCACGGTGCTCATAAGCACCGCACTTACGATCCCACTAACAGGACCCGCTTCTGCCCCACGCTGCGGGCGAGAAAGCCGAGTGGGGGCGGGGCCCTGGAGGTCAGCCCCCGCGGCCGTGCCCAGGGCGCCTCCGCGCTGCGGTCGGCCGGGCTCGGGAAAGCCTCGGCGCCGCGCCGCTCGGGTCCGCTCCGGACTCCCGGGCGCCTTACGGCTAACGCCCCCGGGGCTCAGGCGCCCCCCGCCGAGGGTCGTGAGGACGCGTAACGAGCCCGAGCCGCGCGCCCGCCCGCCCCGCGCCGCGCCCGCCGGGCTCCTCACCGTCCGCGCGCCGCGCTCCCGCCCGCGGGGCTCGGGGCGGCGCGGGGTCCCGGCCGCGGAACCAGCTCGGCGCCGTCCGCTCCCGGCGGGAAGGCCCGGGCGGGGAAGGCCGGCGGCGGCTGCAGGAAGTCCGGACCGCCGCTCAAGGGGAGGCCGCTGAAGGGCCGGCCGAGCGCGGCCATGGCCGGGGAGACCAGGAGGCTGCGCCCACGGCCACGACCGCCCGCGTCCCCAGGCCCGGCAGCTGCGGCCACAGCGACGGCAGAGAGGCGCCCGCCTCTGAGCCCGCTCTCGACCCCACGTCACGCCTTCTAGAACCCTCCACCCCGGGCCGCCCCGGGGCACGCCGGGATTTGTTGTGTGTGGAGAGTGGCTGCCGCGAGGGATACTGGGAGTTGCAGTCCGAGCGGACTACAACTGGGATGGCCGCCTCTGCCTGCCTCGCGTTTCTGTAGCTGTTTTCTCAGTCGTAAAACCTGATAACAACAGCACCTATCTTCTTAGGGTTGATGGGAGAAGCAAATGAATTACAACATCCTGAAGCGCCTGCCTGGTTCAGTGGGTAGAGCCTGTGACTGGATCTCGGGTGGTGAGCTCAAGCCCCATGTTGGGCATACATCCTACTTTTTATTTTATTTATTTATTAATAAGAGACACAGAGAGAAAGGGCAGAGACAGCGGCAGAGGGAGAAGCAGGCTCCATGCAGGGAGCCCCATGTGGGGACTCGATCCCGGGTCTCCAGGATCACGCCCCGGGCCGAAGGCAGGCGCTAAACCGCTGGGCCACCCGGGCTGCCCAGATCCTACTTTAAAAAACGAAAACTACAT